TTCATTTTTTAAAAATGTATCTTTATTGTTGAAAGTATTACAAATGTCCCCCTTTTTCCCCATTGACCCCTCTACCGGACCCCAGCCTTCACCACACTATTGTCTGTGTCCATATTGTTGCAAATATCATTGAGCTTTAACCCTAATTATTTCAGGAAAGATCCCCCTACGGAGAACATTCTCCTACATAATCACAATATAATTATCACACTCAGGAAACTTAACATTGATATAGTATTATTATCTAATATACAATCAATATTCAAATTTCCCCAATTGTGGAAATAATGTTTTATATAGCTAGAAATTTTATTTTCTTTCTTTTTAAGATTCAGGATCAAACAAGGATCACAATTCTGATTTCTTTTTGGTCTTCTTGAACCTAATGAAGTTCCCCAGCTTTTAAAAATTATCATCATCATCACTATTGTTGTCTTTCATGACACTGACAGTTTTTTAAGAACCCAGGACATTTCTTTTGTAGAATGTTTTACAGTCTGGATTTATACGATTGTTTCTTACTAAACAGATTCATTGTAAGCATTTTTGGCAGGAACACATCACCTGTGTGGTGTTCATTATCTCTTCTGAGCCTCAGTTTGCACCTCATAGGAAATGAAAAATGAATGAACCAAAGCAGGTAAAGCACGCAGCATATTACATGGCATGGAGCAGACACTCAGTAGCTGTTGCTGCTGACATGGAGACAGGCAACCTTGGCTCGGGTGGGAAATTCAGGTTTAGAAGCCGCAAGATGTTAGATGCTTACAGTGGTCGATAATGTAACTGATCAGGGAAGGGACCACGGAGAGGAGCGGGAAGGTGGGTGGGTGAAGGGGACATTTCGTTTCATCGCTTTGCCCTCCTGCTCTGCTCCTCCCGCGGGGTGCGTGCCCCATCCCTGTGCCAGCCCCGCTGGAGTGGGCAAGCGGAGGGGAGGGTCCTCTCCCCATCAGGCCTGGAGGGGAGGATGCCACGGGATGGCCCTGAATTATTCACTGTTTGCATTAGCGTCCAGCATAAAAACACTAAGAGGAAATGTGCTTACCTTCCGCTTTTGGTTTGTATATCTTTGCCTCTGTTTGCCTGGGAAATCCCCCAGTAAAAACTCCAGCAGTTTTCTTAACGGAAATAGGTTTATCACACTTTGCGATTTTTAGTGGGAAACTGGCATTTTTTCCTGCTTTGTGGGCATTGATTCATGATTTACTTAGCTTTGGCTTGTTAATAAAATGAGCTGACTCACCGTCAGAAGTCAGGAACGGTCCACCGCATCTATCCAGTTAGCATCAGCTGCTTTGATTCTTCAAGCGTCATAAAATAAAATAAAAGCCAGTCCTGTCAGTTTGTCGAGGTTTCATTTTTATTTTGCAATATTATCTGAATGACATCCTTTCAGTGATTGAAGCAGTATTACATCACCCAGTGTTGGTTTAAACCTATTATGGGAAATGGTGTTTTACTGTCCTACCGAACAAGCCAGTGATACTCTATAACACTGGCTTCCCATAAGAGGCTTCCTAAGTGTCTTAGGAAATGTTACTTCAATGGATTTCATAAGATGTCTTTTAGACCCAAAAAAAAAACCAAAACAAAAATATTGATGGGAGTCCCTTTTTGAGTTGGAGAAACCTTGCAATCCCAATAATAAGTCAGCTGGATTTGTGCCCTTTACCTTGTCCACATGGCAGCTGCTTCTCTCCATCCTGAAGGAGGTCACACACACGGTGTGCTCTGTAGCACAAACAGCAGAGCTGAAGGGGACTGGTGGGTTGACCATGGTAGAGCAACTTCCTCTGAGCCCCACCTCTGAGCCAGAGGGGACTGAAAGCAAGGCTGTGGCCTCCCCGGGGAGGATACAGTCAAATACAGGA